CGATTTCAGCACAACGCACAAGAGGCCCGCTTGGTAGCATGTTATCAACATGTTGAAAACCTCATGTTTTTGATAATACGCAAGAGCGCGAGCGCAAGCTTTCTTTGAAAATCCACGTTGCGGGACCATGCATTCGTATATGCGTTCGTGACCTTCGATTTTGGAACCCTTACGAACCCTCACGCTTGTTTGAAAGATTTCAGCACGCGCGCGCGCCGACGCGCGCGCGTGCACTTCGTCCACCTGTCCTGCAAGGCCTTCTTAAAAACTTCTGACTTTTGATACACGAGTGAGCGCGCATGGCTTCTGCTGCAAAGGATGAAGGGGGGCCGCTGCAAGCTTGGCTGGGACGGCGCAAATGTACATTTAGGATGCACGATGCGACAGAATCATGCGCAAATTGAAACACGAAAAATACTCGGCTTAGCCCGGAGGGGAGGGGTAGATCCTAAAACTCTTCTAGAAAGCAGGGCGTGGTATCTACACGGAGCAAATTATACATTGCGCAATCCACGCGGTGCAATCGACGCGGTTCAATTGACGTTTACCAACGATTTAGCAAATCCCCCGCTCTTGTTAACATTCCACCCACCCACCCGCGACTTGCTTTGCAAAACCCATGCGACGGCGATTGCGATGACTGCTCGGCGTTGGCAAGTGCATCTCCGCGGCCGCGCTAGACCCCGCAGGCTGGCGCGCGCAGCGGTCAGCTAGTTTAGCGCGACAGAAGCGGCCGCGGCGGCGCGGACCGCCGGGCACTTCCCAGCGGGCACTTCACTGACTTGGGCGCGCGCGGTACCACGGCGACGCCGACGAAGGTAGACGCGGAGATGACATCTGCAACGAAGGAGAAGACGGCGGCGACGACGACGGCATGGCGAAGAACGGCGCCGACGTTGATCACGCCCGCCGATGACGACGACGCCCTCGCGTCGGCGATGAGGGTTGCCGAAGGAACTCGACATGCGCGCGCGGCCGACGCGCGCGAGTGGCCGGCGCGGCATTTTTCGACGCGGATCGCGGCCCCACCCCCCCAGCACGCGCGCAATGGGGCGCGAAAGGCCCGCTTAGCAGAATTGCATGAAAATGTTGAAGAACCTACGGTCGTCTTCGAAATCCGCGCGACTGCAAACGCGCGCCACGTTGAAAACCGACGCTGCACAACCATGCGGCCTGTATGTCGTCGGGACATGCTCTTCATAATCACTGCGAAACCTAGAAACGTTCGATGGCTTTTGGCACGCGCGCGCGACGACGCGCGCGCGCGTCGACCCATCTGTTGCAAGGGGCCACTGCGACAGCGCACGCGCAAGGGCACTCGAACGTTTTCGACGCGCGCACACGAGAGGCCCGCTTGGTCGCATGCCATGGCAACGTTAAAAAAACATATGGATGTCGTAGAAATTCGCAAGCGCGCGGGCGCCAGCTTGCGTGGAAACCCTGCTGCGAAACCAGAGGTGTCCATATGTTTTCGGGGCCCTCGATTTTGAAATCCCTGCGAGACCGCAAGTTTTAAAAAGTTTCGGAATGCGCGCGCGACGAGGCGCGCGCGAGCATTTCGTCCAATCTGCCGCACGGGGTTCTCGAGAACTCCGGAAGTTTGATCAATGAGCGCGCGCATATATATCTATATATATATATATATATATGGGCGGAGGATGACAGGGGGGGCGTTACCAGCATGGCTGGGGCGGCATGAATCCACATTTAGGATGGGCGGCGAGGCAGCATCACACGCAAATTGCAAGACGAAAAGGTGGCCCGTTAATTCGGGGGGAAAGGGGGGGGAGGTCCTACTACTCTTTTAGGACGGAGGATATGTACTGCGCGGTGCTAGCTACGCGGTGCATTCTCAGTTGCGCAAGATATACGTGGTGCAATCTATGCAGCGCAAGCTATGTGGCGCAGCAAACGCGGTGCAGTTGACGCGATGCAACATGTGTTGCGCACCCTGTGCGGCGCAATATTTGCGTTGCAATTTAAACCAACCCTCACAATAGATCGTCAACCCCACTGCTCGCGCAATCACCCCACCCACCCACCCACAACTTGGTTTGCAAAACCTATGCAACGGCGATTGCGATGACTGCTCGGCGTTGGCTGGTGCATCCCCGCGGCCGCGCTTGCCCGCGCATGCTCGCGCGCGCAGCGGCCAGCTAGTTTGGCGCGACAGAAGCGGCCGCGGTGGCGCTGTCTGCTGGGAAGTGGCGACTTGGGCGCGAGCGGTATCATGGCGACGCCAACAAAGGTGGACTCGATGATGAAAGTAGCGACGACGGTGGCGATGATGGCGGCAGGGCCAATTACGGCGCCGCCGTTGATCACGCCCGCCGATAACGATGACGATGCCCTCGCGTCGGCGATGAAGGTTTTGGGCAATTCGACATGCGCGCGCGGCCGACGCGCGCCAGTGGCCCGCGCGGCATTCTCTGACGCGGATCGCGCCCCCCCCACCCCACCCCACCCACACACACCCACCCCACCCCACCCCACACGCACACCCACACACACACAAACAAACAAACACACACACACACACACACACACACACACCAGCACGCGCGCAAGGGCGTTAAGATGAGTTCGACATGCGGCGCGGAACGCCCGCTTGGCAGAATTTGATGGCTGACGCATTCTTCTGACTTCGCAAGAGCGCGCGCGCGGGTTGTTTAGCAAATGTACGTTTCAAAACCATGTGTTTTAGGTGCGTTCGCGACACTCGTTTCTCAATATTTGCGAAACCTAAGATTATCTGGAAGACTTCCGCGTGCAATATATGTGGTGCGATATTGAAGGTGAAAAACCTGTTCGCAGTGAGCGGTCAACTCCACTGCTCGCGCAATCGTCCCACCCATCCACCCGCAAACTGGTTTGCACAAACCCATGCAGCGGCGGTTGCGATGACTGCTCCGCGTTTGCTGGTGCATCTCTGCGGCCGGGCTAGCCCGCGCATGCTCGCGCGCGACGCGGCCAGCTAGTTTGGCGCGACAGAAGCGGCCGCGGTGGCGCTGCCCGCTGGGCACTGGTACTTCACTGCGAGTCGGCGACTCGGGCGGGCGCGGCATCATGGCAACATCGCCAACGGTAGACACGAGGAAGATAATAGCGATGCTGGTGGCGACGATGACAGCGACGACGTCAAGGCCAGTGACGGCGCCGATGCTGATCACGCCGGCGACGATGACGGCGTCCTCGCGTCGGTGATGAAGGCTATGGGAGGAGTTCGACTTGCGCGCGCGGCCGACGCGCGAGTGGCCCGCGCGGCATTGTCTGTCACGGATCGTGCCCCCCCAGCACGCGCGCAAGGGCGTTCGAATGATTTCGACATGCGAGGCGAGGAGGTCCGTTTGGCAGCAGTTTCTGCAAATGCTTTTAAACAAAACAAAAAATAATGTGTTTTTAGACTCCGTATGGGCGCGCGGGCAAGTTTTGGTTTGAAATTCCTTGTTGTGAAACCATGTGCTTTTATATGTATTCGGGACATTCGATTTCAAAATCCCTGCGAAACCCTGGGTGTTTGAAGGATTTCGGCGCGCGCGCGACAACGCGCGCGTGTGCACTTCGTCTCATTTGTTGAAAGGGGCTCTTGCGACAGCACGCAAGCAGGGGCGTTCGAACGATTTCGACATGCGCGCGCGAGAGGCCCGTTTGGCTAGCATGGTATGACAATGTTGAAAGCCTGTAGTTGCCGTTCGAGTTCGCAAGAGCGCGGGCGCAAGCTTATCTTGAAAATTCGTGATCCAAAACCATGTGCTTCTATACATGTTCGTGACGTTCGATGTTGAAATCCCTGCGAAACCCAAGGTGTTTGCAGAACGTCGGCATACGCGCGCGACGACGCGCGAGTGCACTTCCTCCATGTGTTTGCAAGGGGCCCTTGAGAAAGAATGAGTTTTGATAGGCGAATACGCGCGGACGCTGTTTTTGTTGCAGAGAATGGAGGGGGCGATACTGGCCTGCCTGGGATGGTACGAATGGACGATGGGGCAGACTCACATGCTAATTGGAATGCGAAAAAGGGAACCGTAAAATCCAGGGGGTAGATCCGATTACAGAGGAGAATAGATGCGGTGCATGGGAGTGTATATGGCTATGTATGTATGTGTGTGCGCGTCAGCTTGCCAGCGGAGACCCAAACACTAGGCGGTTGTACACTCGACGCGCCATCTGCGTGGTGCGAGAGACGCGGTGGCAGTTGCGAGATGTAAGCCATGTGGTACGATTGTGCATTGCACCATCCCTACGTAACTCGTCACACTTCGGGTAGACACGTACCCACTTCCCCATTACCCTCTCCCTGAGCCTGGACGGAACTGACCGCGTTAGAGGGTCCGAGGTGGCCCGAGAGAGTCGCAGGTAGCCCAAGATGGCTTAAAAATCATACAACGTGCCCCAAAATGGTGCAAGATTGCTTCTGGTATACCTCCCAAAAGCCCCAAGCCCGCCCCGAAGACTGCCTGCCAACGACTCACCCCCGAGGAACCCAAATGCTTCGAACACCAACAGAAAAGCAATGATGGCTGTCGTCTCGCATTTTCGTTTTCGAGGGGCGATTGGGGCATCAAGGTGGCCCCAGGATGTTCCAAGAGAGCACCAAAAAGGGGCCCAAGAGGGGCCCAAGACGGCCTCAAGAGCACCCAACAGCACGCTCCAAGATGGCCTCGTTATGACCCCCAGGGACCCCGAGAGGGCCCCAAGAGGGCCCCGATAGAGCTTCAAAAAAACGCCAATGCGTGGAAGGAGGATGAGGGAGGGCATCGGACATCAGACATCGGACCTGCAGCTGCCGCCATCTAGGGCGTCGCATGCGGGCGCCGTAGCGCCAGGCATGTGAAACGTGTGAGACAATCAAAGATACACGTATGAGGCAACGGAGAATCAGCCAACAGAGCGACATGAAAATGCACACATGTAACACAAGATGAATCAACAGACAGAAAAACTGGGAGGGGGGAGGAGGTCGGCATCGGCCAGGGGACAAGATGACCAGCGCGCCGAGCCTGCGTACGTGTGCGGCGTCTGGCGGATCTTCTTCTGCCTCCGCTCCAGCTCCTGGCCCAGAGGAGGGAAAGAAGCAGGAGGACAGTGACGAGGAGAGGGCTGAGGAGGAGGGCGGGGGGGGGAGAATGAGGAGGAGAGGGCGAAAGCGGAGGGTGAGGAGCAGGAGGTTGAGACAAAGGAGAGGAGGGGAGGAGAAGGAAGGAAGACGAAGATGACGAGGAGGAGGAGGAGGAGGAGGAGCAGCATCATCATCAGCAGCACCATAAATATCATCAGCATCAGCATCAGCAGCCACAGCATCATCATCATCATCATCATCATCACCACCACCACCATCATCACCATCATCACTCTCACCACC